TTACATGAGGGCAACGGGAGGAGCCAGACACTAGGCAATGCACTATCGCCTGGTTGTCGCAGAGTAGGCGGATGCGTAGAGTACGCCACTGTTCGCCCCAAGCTGCTGCTGCGAGCACGATTGGGTAGAGCTCCTTCCACTGGATACTCAGTTCCAACTGAGCGGTCGACCAGCGTCCGTTGAACCACTCACCCTGGCAGTAGGCACCGAACCCGATGGTCCCTGAGCTGTCGGTAAAGAGCTGGAGGTGGGGGGAGGGGGTCCAGTCTGGCAGAAGGAAGAAAGACCGACCATTCCACGGGGTGGCGAACTCCTGCCACCACTGGAGGTCGAGCATGAAGTCCCCTGAGAGGGGGATGACCTCGTCTAGGCAGGAGACAGAGGAGCTGAGGTCGATCATCCTTCTGAGAAAGGTCCTTCCAGTTGGGACCACTTTGGCTGGGAAGCTTAGGGTGCCGATAAGGGATAGCAGTTCCCGCTTGGAGCAGCTGGAACGGGTTGCCCAGGCATTCAGAGAGTGGTGTATGTCCTGGAGTTTATCAGCGGGGAGTCGGGCTTCAAGGGAGGCGGAGTCAAGGGGTATGCCTAGATACTCGAGGCAAGTAGTTGGTCCTTCCCGTTTGTCGTCGGCCAGCGGGACCCCCAGGGCAGCACAGAGGGAAACGAGGGTGTGCAGGTGTTGCGAGCACTGCTCTGAGTCGGGTGTACCGGCGACGAAGAAGTCATCCAGGTAGTGGTGGATGTGGGTGACCCCTTGCTGGAAAGCTATGCACTCGATAGCGTCGGCTAAGCAATTGAAGATGAAAGGGGCTGACCTGAGACCAAAAGGGAGGACCCGGTCGAAATAGAATGAGCCCCCCACTTCATGCCAAGGAGGTGGTGGTCAGAGGGATGGACTGGGCAGAGTCTGAAGGCGCTCCTGATGTCTATCTTCGCCATCAGAGCTCCTCGACCAAGGCGCATCACGGAGTCTATGGCGTTGTAGACGGTGGAATAGCGCAGCGGGAAGTCCTTGTTATCAATGCCGTCGTTGACACTGCTCTCTGGTGGGTAGGAAAGGTGCATAATTTGGCGCCATTTCCCTGACCTTTTCTTGGGAACAGCGCCGAGGGGGTTAACGACAAAGTTGGGTAGAGGGGGAGAGGGGAAGGGTCTAAGAGTGTGCCCTGCCTGGCATTCGGCCTCCAAGTATTTGTCGATGACTTGTGGCCAGCCCAGGGCTGAGCGCAGATTGGAGGAAGGGCGTGGGTAGTGTGGGCCTGTGTATCCGACCTTGAATCCCCAGGTGAAGCCTTGGAGTAGGTAGGTGGTGAAGTCACTATTGGGGTGACCTGTAAGGAGGGAAGCTAGCAGTGGTGAGTTCACAGGTGTGTGGGTTGGAGGTATGGGACAGTGAGGCACCATTGGGGGAAGAGGTGGGAGGTGTTGCAGAGGGAGAGTAAGCGGCTGTGACCTTGATGTCCTTGATGTTGGTGGATCAAGTGGAGAGGTTGGCTCTGTGGGTGAAGTGATAAGGTCTGAGGGAGGGATTAAGGTAGGAAGTGGTGGGGGAGATGGTGGAGGGGTAGGGAGAGGTGAGTCAGGGAGGTCACTGCTTCCTCGGGGAAGATCTCTTGGTGGGGTAGGAGGTGACCGGGTGTGACCCATGACAGCCGGGGGTGAGGCACGCGTGCCGGCGAGAGCAGTCGCCTCGGGCGCACCTCCCGCGGTTATAGTTGCGGCAGATCTCTTTTGCCTGGATCTGTGTGGTGTATTTTGGGCCAGCCGTAGGGACCCTGGCTTTCTTGGCTGGCCCACCAGAGGAAAAAAGAGGGCAGTCAGAGGAAGAGTGCGAGGAGGTGAGGCAGTGGTCACACCAGGCCCTGGGGCGGGCTTTGCCAGACCCTGTGAACGCCTTGGTGTAGAGCTGTGGGTCTATCTGGCCCCAGGAGGCCAGGCGGAACCTAGCTGCCTTCCTCCTGAAGGCAACGTCGTACGCCATGCACGCAGAGAAATTGTATTCTGCATGGCACGTGGCGATGACATAGAGATATGCCATGAGATCGGTGGATCGCTGTGGCTGGTGGGAGGACAGGTAGTGGGCGTATACAGCAAAGCACCTGGCCCACTCTATAAAGGAGGAGACCTGTCTTTTCTTTGGTTTCCTAGGGAGGGTAAGTCTATTTGTCCTCCCCTAGCTCAATTTGGACAGGGGTCTCCTCCGTACCCTCTGACTCTAATACATACAGCAGCTCATTAAAATCCACAAACTCACCGGAGGTCGCTGCAGTAGCAAACCTGGCCGGTATGGTGGGGATGGAGCCGCTGTATGGAGCCATCTGAGGGAGGGTAGGGTAGGTGGGCAGAGGTACTGTTGCTGGGGTCTGGGTGGGAGGGGGCACGAAGGGCTGAGTGGGTGGAGCCACAGGGGGAGCTGCTGCCAGTCCTGGTATATGCTGGGGGGAGAGAAAGGGGGGCTGGTAAACCCATGACAGGGAGGTTGCAGTGGTGGCACTGGGGCCGGAGGACTGCGGGGCTGCCATGGATCCCAGCAGCGGCGGGAGAGTTGGGGCGGATCCAGCGAAAGGGACCTGGCTGGGGTGCAGCGAGAACCCGGTGGCGGTGGGCTGCGGTGGAGCTACCGCAGTGGTAGACGGAAAGGGGGGAGGGGCTGGTGCTGGTGCGAACGCTGTGGAGGACGAGGCAGACGGAAGGGCGAACTGCGCCAGCACTTGAGCCGCGGCTTGCTGCGCGGCCTGTGGGGCCATCGTATGGAGGTTCGGCGGCTGCAGGCCAGGGCCAGCGTGAGTGGGCGCAGTGGCAGGCGAGGGGCGCCGGCGGAGGGGGAGGCCGCGGCGTTCGCAGAGACGGCGGGCAAGCCGGTAAATGCGAATCCGACGCCCTGCTGCGAACCAGTGTTGGCGGTGGCTGCAGAGGACGCGGGAAGGGGAGGTAGCTGGGAGCGCAGGGTCAGCAGTCGGGCGATCAGGGATGATTTAAGACCGCCGGTTGGGAGACCGTTGTCCCTGCAAAGCTGGGTGAGCTGCGCCTTGAGCAGCGAGTCCAAGTCCGCGGTGCGGAGATCTGCTTGTGTCGCCATGGCCGTTAGAATTTTGAGTGGCTTTGGCGGGCAGAACACGCTGCAAACACTGCGATACGCGATAGTGTGAGCACTGCCGCGTTGCGCGTCTGTTTTGTATGCGCGTGCTTGCCCGACTACTTCCGTTTTAACCGTAATTACCCATGAATTACCAGAAAACATGTTTATAATAAACAAGAAAGAGCCTCTGGCAGACGTCACCGTCTGTGCGCTCTTTTACGCGCTATATTAACCCTCGGCATGCATGCACAGCGAGGCTTACGGTAGTTATCGTGTGTGTCTGTCTGTCTCATTTCACGAGCAATCAATCGCTCCACTAACGATACCACGTATTCAGTGTCGGAAAGTATGTGGGGTTTTCTCTGAAACTGCTGCGTTCGGGAGTTACGGCGTGACGAGAGTTATCTGACTTCACGAGCAATCAATCGCTCCACAAACGATTCCACGTATTCAGCGTCGGATAAAGGTCGAAAAATATGTGGGGTGGTTTTTTCTGAAACTGCTGCTTTCGGGAGTTACGGCGGGAAACACAAGCGAAAAAGGCAATAATCTCTTTAGAACAAGCTTACCTCGAGCAGGTCCGCTTGTTCGGTGTATCTTGAAGGCACAAGAAATCACAGCGAAGGGCGTGTATCGACTTCCGCATGCTGTCTACTGCTGTAGCTCGCCTGTGTCAGACTCTCCGCGAGCTATACTAGCGTGGAGACCACAAGTAAACGCGTACTAATAGCCCAGCACATCAATTGGCACTGCCGCGCATGCGCAGTTCGCCGAGGGTTTGCACTTCAGTGCTTTTCATTTTACACAGGTAATCTCATTATTAAATCTATGCGAACAGTTGGTCGCATTGTGATGATAATTTACATGTGTATCACATCATTTACATGTTTTTAATTAACTGTTTGGGGGCCAAAGCCCCTCAATGAGCCTTTTACGTAAAAATACCAATGCATAATAACGCGTTGCATGAGTCGCATGTAACCTACTTACCTTCCCTTTCCCTGGATTCCCTAGTTATAATATAACAATTTAACAAGATTGTTAATCCTCGGCGCGCATGCGCAGCGATAGTTTACTTGATTTGTAAGTGTGTCTGCCTCTCTGTTACCTCATTTTCTGCGACTATGTGCAACGTGATAGCAGAACAGCGATACCAATGGGTTCACCGCTACACTGCCTTCATTTTAAAAAGGGAGATTTTTGGATAACTGCTGCGTTCAAAAGTTATGGCATGAACAAGCCATTATGCAAATTAGCACAGGCTTACCTCGAACGCGTCCGCTTGCTCTGTGTATCTTGAAGGCACAAAAAGTCACAACGAAGGGCATGTATCGACTCCCGCATTCTATCTACTACTGTAGCTAGCCCGTGCCTGACTGTCCGCGAGCTACTAGCGGGATACCACGAGTAAAGGAATAAAAGCCCAGCCCACAATTAGTGGTACCGCGCATGCGCAGTTCGCCAAGGGTTTGCACTTTTGTTCATTTCAATGTGGTATTTTTAATGTTACAATTTTGATCTTGCAGGCATTCAACGATTTGTTTGTGGTGCTCTTGGTCCTACCAACCGTACTCTTTCACTTTCTCCTTCAGTAGAAAAGCCTGAGTATCGAAACATTTGTAAGTTTTGGTGCTGCATATAAGTGTTGCGGACTTAGTGTACCTATAACTGAATGTACGTTTATGCACATCTGGTAATTACCCTGTTAGGGGTTTCTCTCACTACCGATAAACCCCTTGATCGTTCAGTTGCATGGGTTACAGTCTGTGTGTCTTTCTGTCTGTCTGTCTATCGGTGTTATCCGCAGCTATTCAGGCACTACAGGGTATGATGCAGTCTACGAGTGATACTTACGGCTTCGAAACTATGCGAGTCTGACAAATAAATTGGTGTTTTTCCTGTAACAACTGTGTTCTTGAGATATGCCGTGAAAACAAGCGCAAACATGAATATGCATAAACACATCTGGCTTACCTCGACCTGATCTGCTTGCCCCGTGTATATACCTTGGAGGTAAAGGAGGTACCTCGCCAAATTTGTAAAACTGTGTTAATTATGCTATACCTATGAATAAACATGTTTTAAGCTGCACGGGTTTCATTTCTATAGAAGCATAACAAATGCGTTTTGGAAAGAAGTCGCGCACACAATTCATGCATACATATGCATATGTCTGCAATGCGTTGCACGTGTTCTGCGGTGTTAGTTTGAAAACTTGTTTGGAGCTAAAAATAAGCTATACATCCTGTTCCATGTTCACGCATGTCAGCTACATTACATTGAACTGGGCATGTAGAAAACCTGAAAAACAAAATGGCCATTTTCCTGGAATGACTGCGTTCGAGGGATATGCCGTGAAAAGCGAAGCGAAGCAAAAGCGAATAAGCCAGGGCGAGCAAGCGAAAAAGCCAATTTCAATAATCGCACCAGGTTACCTCGACCGATGCGCTTGCTCTTTGTACCTTGCGGAGGCACTAGAGGTCACCACAAAGTCCGTGTATCGGCATACTATCTTATAGTGTAGCTAGCCCGTTTGGCGACCAACTAGTGTGGAGACCACGAGTAATTGGATACTCGCAGTGATCTAAGGTAGATGCTATTGCTCTGAAATGCCCGAGAATGAGCAGGTACGCCGGACACTTTCCAGGAGACTTTTCCCTTCACGAGTAGAGGGTGGTCTCTGTTGAAAGGTTCTTGCAGGAAATCCTTGTGTACTGGCAGGACTGAGGAGTAGGCCAGCATCTCAAGAGGCATGAGGAAGGCCATACTGGGCTATCGAGCACTACTGTCGGACCCTCCTGGTGTATTTGGTGTAGGCATCTGCCTATCTGGGCATATAGAGGAAGGCATAACCCCGGAGATCTGTCCTTGGTACCCTGAATGCATCCGTTGCCGCTGCATATGGGTAGATCAAAATTGTAACATAAAAAATCCCCGCTGCATATGGGTTAGGCCTCCAACTGATGCAGTGAGGAAGTTAAAAGTTCGTCCTCGATGCAAAGTGGTCCACATTGTACGGGCCGTAAAGGCTCATCACTGCCTTAGACATGGACCTGTCCAATTCCATTTGGCAGATGATTGGAGTGTCCAAGACTCGGTATGCTGTCACCCCCTTTTCCAAGCACAGACTCCAACATTTGGCAGGCTGTGTCCAATAGTGCTGGGGACCTTGTCCCGTTCATGTAGTTGATGTAGCGCACTTTGGCCATCTGCAGATGCATGTGGGACATTGCCTCGTGCTTTGCGTCCAGAGCTGCACCCAATAATTCCAAGGTGGTATCTGTGGCTCTGACCATTCCTCTTCCTGCCAGAGATCCCCGGTACTCACTCCGTCTGCTACTGCAGCCATTCCCAGGAAAGAGGGATCACGGAGTTCGTGTTTCCACCGTTGCAACTCCTTCTTTGTGGCTCGGTTGTAGTTGCTGGATGTGGCGAAGTGAGCAGCCGTTTCAAGTTCCTGTAACATAAGAGTGCAGGGAGGACGCCTTTGCTTTTGCTGTAATCTTGTCTTTTAATCAGGCAAGATCAGATATCTGGATGCTATTGCTCCTTCTTGCCTGACTACATTACTGAACAATACTCCTCAGCTTATCTAAGAAACTCTCCGACACCGAGACAAAATTTTTATTTTGTCCCTAGTGTCCCTTGATGGTTTTGTTAAAAGTGGACCACTGTTGCTGTGAAGAGAAGTATCTAATTATCCTTTCCTTAACAGGCAAAGGAAGTTGAATTAAAGACTCTGGAGAAAAGTTGATCGAAGGTAGTTTGGTTCCAACAGAGGGCTGGCCGGATAACAGCTTTATAACCGAAGTATTCTGCAGATGCACGTGGGACATCTGTGCAGATATCACTCAGCCTTCTAAGTCAATCAGAGAAATATGCTACCCTGAAAGTAACAATATTAGGTGTGCAGAAACTGCATGGGGTTGTGAGCATGCAAAAGTTGCCCTGGATGTCACGTCTCCACTCAGAAGTACATATGCCCCTAGCTCCCGGTGTTCGACATTCACCTGACTCAGTTGGACTGCGATATCATTGACAGGCCCTGGTATCGGAAGAACTAAGAACTGGACTTCCATTGGGTCACTCCAGTTGCTTGGAAAGTCACGAAACTGGTATGAGCGAAAATCGGGGCATTAGGTTGTTTTTGTTTCTGTAAGTTGTTTAGTTATTGATCTATACATGTGTGCCTCTCCAGATGGATTTTTGATTGTGGTGGAGCTGTAATAAAAATAACCTCAAGACGTGTCTAGAAGCCACTGGTGGGAAACGTTTCTTTTTAGACCATGTTAATGGCAAAAAAAATAGTTTATTACCAGGTTCAAGATCTAATGATATTCTGTCAGTGTTTGTTCTGTGACTTCGTTGATGGCCAGAGAAGGAAAATTATAAGGATCACATCAGATGCAGTACAAGTCAAAAATAGGTAGCGCTTGCTACCGATAACGGTACGGTAAATGTAGCAGTACTTTCACGGTACAATAACGGTACTCTAGAGGTACGCGTGGGGTACACCGACAGTAATTCTACTGTGGTACAGAAAAGATATGGAAAGGGTGCGGTGAAGTGACGGTAAAGGTTTTCGAACGGTAAGGCCAAAGGTACTCGAACGGGTACTTCAGCTAGATTCACTCCGCACACAGCTCGCACGTAATGGCGCCGTGCAGCCATGCTCCACTCCGTGTAGCGGCTAGATTCGCATCATAGCGACATGATGCACAGATAGGCAGTGTGTAAAAGTTTTTCGGATAGAAAGAAGCGCATTATCCTGACGCGAACATCGCGCCGAAGGTGAAACGCGCGGCGAGCAGAGAGGTCGTGAGTTGGCATACCCGACTGGTAAAAACCGTAGGCCGTGGAGCAAGTGTCTCTCTCTGGTCGCATCACGAGACACTAGCTAGTGTCGACGTTGATGCGATCCTGAAAGCCATAGCTCGTATGCAACCCCACGGCTAGTTTTGTACGGCGGCGGTTTCCTGCACTACTACTTTATGCCACAACAGGACTATTTGCAAAAGAAGCACATATAAACAGTCGCCAGGTGAGATTTTTGATCATCTACCCATTATCTTCATCATTCATTGGCATTTGAAAATAAACTGAAAATTAGTCAGCAGATTCCCAAAGTGATGTATATACATACAGTTGGTGAATATACTATGGGAATTATTACGGAGGAAGTGGTCGAGAAGCTGATAGGTTGTTTCGCTTTAAGTTGTAGCTGCTTCGTGTCTGTTCTACATTGCCTGCTGAGCGCAGTTGTTCCTTTGAAAGTACACTGAATTACCTGTGAGCTCTTGTGTGTGTAAGTCTTGTGATTGCAGTCGTCTGGTAAGTAAGTTGTAAATCTTGTATTTCACAAAGCAAGAGCACATAATACAAGGAAATGTTGCTGTTTACCTGGATGTAGCAATACCTCTAAGCGTAGTTGGCAGCCAATATGAGTGTTAGTAAGCAAGGGGTAGCTAATACCATTTATTTTCCCTCAGTGTACAATATTGCTTTGCTACGTACCTACTCACATTGCCGAAGAATGTGCACTGCTTTGTAGGCAGAGGCACCATCGTGTGGGTAGGGATAGGTGTCTGTCTCTAACTACAAGCTGAAAACATGATTAGATGATAAGACAAGTGATTCAGAAAAGTGTTTGGATGGAAAAGGTTTGTGCAACAGTTGCCATCTAGAGAATGTCTGCTCATCCAACAGCACTATAGGCAGCGAAAGTAGGTGATCTATGAAGCTGGTACGTGAGTGCCGCCGGATTAGTGACAACAACTACTGCATATTTCCTATTATTAAAGGAATAAATGTTAGCTCCAAATATTTCAGCTGTATCATGAATATATATCTCTTCTGCTAAGAGAGATTTTAAGGAAGCCTTGTCAAAGTCCTTTTATATCTTGAAACCAGTTTTGAGTCTATGATGTCCATCTGAGATAATTGTTAGGTCACTCTACCATACATGTTATCCATATACCATGCCATGGGGCAACTATATCTGATGATAGTAAGATTGCTTCTACCAGTTCCCATCCACTAAAACAGGTTGCCTTACTTTTTGCCAAGCATGACAAGACATCGGTGGGGTTTGATAGGGAAGAGCTCCATACCATCTTATTTGTGTGTGAAGCTGTGTGATTCTGCCTGTTGCTGGAGTGACTGCGGCTGTTTTGCCGAGTATTGCTAGAGAGGCTGTGACTGTTGAGCAGTTTCCAGCTGTTGTGCAGGATAATACTGGGGAGGCAGTGATAGAAGAGGTTTTGTGCATTGCTGTGGAGCAGTATGTGGTAGAGCACTTTGCAGCTGTTTTGTCTTGTATTGTTGGAGAGGCTGCTGGAGAGGCTGTGACTAGAGAGATTGCAACTGGAGAGGCTGCCTGAGAACCTGTGACTGGAGAGATTGTGACTGGAGAGGTTGCTGGAGAAGCTGTGACTAGAGAGGCTGCGACTGGAGAGATTGCGACTGGAGAGGCTGCGACTGGAGAGATTGCCACTGGAGAGGTTGCTGGAGAGGCTGCGACTGGATAGATTTCAACTGGACAGTTTGCGACTGGAGAGGCTGTGACTTGAGAGGTTGCTGGAGAGGCTCCGACTGGAGCGACTGCGATGTTTTGGACCTGTATTGTAGTATGCTTCTGTTTGGGACGAGGTGGTTGTTGACTCTGTTGGAGAAGTCCGTACGGTGATTCACCATTGTCGAGGAACATCCTGTTATATGTATGATAAAAAGGGGTTCCACAGAGTAAGTATAACAAAAGCAAGCTCATATTTCCTTTAGGGATCTTGTGAGTCTTGTTACCCTCGGCGCGCATGCGCAGCGAGGGTACAGTAGTTGGGTCTGTCTGTCTGTCTGTTTGTTTGTCTGTTACTCTATATCTCACTCCTCGAACGTCTGTTCGTCCCAGAAACGATACCATCTACCAAACGGGCGACGAAGGTCAGAAAATAAAGGCGGTTTTCTCTGAAAATGCTCCGTTGCAAAGCTAGAGCACGAAAAAGCCAATATGCAAATACACCACGGACGGGATGGCCTACCGCGGTCTGAACGATCCGCGTGCTCTGCGACCTCGGAGGCACCAGAAGATGCATCACAGGGCGTGTATCGCCTCTCGCATGCTGTCTAGTAGTGTAGTTAGCACGCGTCAGACTATGCGCGAGATGGCTAGAGACCAGGAGTAACAGCCATAACTAAACCCAGCCCATCAATTAGTGATACAGCGCATGCGTTTATTCACGCGTGCGCGTCACAATGCGCCGACGGTTTGCACTTCAGTGCTTTTCATTATTGTATGAGGAGTTCCCCATCCGCGTCACACATACAAAGTCTTCTTCCTCACACATCTCAAAACTCAATAAGACTACTCAACTAAGCCTAGCTTAGAAATTGGGACACTTTTATACCTTGTAGCTATTGTCAAGCCTAGCTGGGCAGGTTGGTGAGAGACCAGAGTTAACCACAGGGAACTACCCAGATACGACACACTTCAGCTAAAGTTCAGCTGAATTGTGCACCTGCATGGCTAGCTGGGTGTGGGTGCAAGTGATGTTCGTTTAGGTAGCCACAGTACCTCCTAACCTGGGAACAGAACTTCAGGCAACTACTGTTACCGGAAGTACAGTGAAAAGTGCTTCTTTTGTGTAGCAGAAGTTCTGCTTGTAGTACTGTGGGGTGATAGTGACAATTTGTTTGAGCGGTACTGTACACAAAAAGATTGTATTATAATTTTTAATAGAAGCTATTGTCATAGCACATATCTCTTCGAGGCAACTATATGTATTTTCCCTATTCCTATGCTAGTGAAGCGTGTCCCGATCAGACCTATTGTGCTCAATTGGCCATATAGAATAAACACGAAACGGCTTCATCTTGAAACGGTATATCAAGACTCCATGGGTAACCGCTGCAGAGTTGTTTCCCTGACATTGCTAGGTTGACAAAGACGACCCCGAGCAAGTCACCAGTAGTCGGATCACCATTGATTACGCGAGAAATTTTTGCTCATATATGGGATGTATATGAAAGGGGTGTGTGGTCACGAATACCGTGTGTTTTGCGCATATCCTTGTTAGCATTGCTGTACGTCCGTCGAAAGTTGCAAAATCGTTCCCTAAAAGCTGCATAATTTGCATTCAGCTTTTCGAACAGTGACTTTTGTATATTGTGGGGAGGCAATCCCAACACTCAGTTACTGTAATTAAAAGGAGTGAATGTTTGGGACCTCAAACTGCATCTTTTAAGAGATTTTTTTCGATATTGTAGGTCAACTGTATCTTCAGTTTTAATACAACAAAATTATAGAGGGATGTTAGTTGTGCAGGTAGCCCAGCAAACGTTGAGATGAACAATTTTCAAGTTTGTTTGCCGCAGTTTGACTGTAAACAAGATAGCTTGCCATCTAGGGTATGTACGCACTTAAGCTCAAAGTTGCACACGCCGCTCCCTTCGATGAACTAAGCCTTTAAAGTTTTCTTTTTTCAAAGAAACAGTAGCACAAGCTGACGTCCCATATTTGTGAACAGGTATTCTTTGGCGCATATGTGATGGTTAGTCTACCTTTCTGTTCATGGGTATGATAAAGAGGTGATTTCCTGAATTTGACTTCGTGTAAAGAACATTATTGCACTAGCTTACCAGGGACTGATCCACTTGCTTTGTGTATGTGCTTAGGAGTGACAAAGAGTCATAACAGAGGGCATAATATATCAAGTTCCTGGGTGTTATTTACAAGCTAGGAAGAGACCATGAGTTAATTTTTTAACTTACAGGCAAGCCCATTCCATACCAACCCATAAAACATGGACAAGCCCATCAACTGGTGGTGCTGTACATGTGGACTGGTTTGACATTAATGTAGTGCCGAGGGTTTAGAATTTTATCAAGATTGGGGCATATGGTGTATTAATAAAAAGAAGGGCTAGTCCGTGTTGTTGTGAATATCATCCACACTACTCTTGAGTTTTTTTTTGGTGCAGCATTTGATGAGCTTGTTCTAAGCTACTCAGAACAAGTGAAAGGACTTCTCGATGGTGGGGCAGATATCCTCATCATTGAAACAATTTTTGATACAGCAAATGGAAAGGTATTTAGAGCGGAACAGTTTTCGCTACCTCGGTGCGCCTGTTAATTATTTTGGTCTAATTGGGTCTAATTGAAGGTAAAGCGCAGGTGCTATATAGCACTGCGGTTTATAGGAAGGAGGCATTCAAGGCTGTCTGAATGGGAACCTTGCAACATTTTTGACTGTTTTTAACCCTCGGCGTGCATGTGCAGCGAGGGTTACTGTACTGTAGCGCGTGTCTGTACGTCTGCCTGTCTGTCTGCCTGTCTGTTACTACCTTTTTCTGCGACTACGCGCAACGAGACAACAAAACAGCGATACTAACGGGTTCATCGCTACACTGGCTTCATTTTTAAAAAGGCGATTTTCGTATAAGTACTGCGTTCAAAAGTTATGGCGTGAAAAGAAATTAACACAGGTTTACCTCGACCAGGTCCGTTTGCACTTTGCATCTTGAGGGCATGTATCGACTCCCGCATGCTATCTACTGCTGTAGCTAATCTGTGTCAGATTCTCCATGAGTAAACGCATATTAAAAGCCCAGCCCATCAATTAGTTGTACCGCGCATGCGCAGTTCGCCGAGGGTTTGCACTTTAGTGCTTTTCATTTTTAACTTAATGGGTAGAATATTACAATGCCAAGTAACAATAAAAGTATTTTTTAGGATTTTTCAGGCTTTGTTTCAATGCCTCGTTTATATAAAATCATGACATACATTTCTATTGTAGCGGAAAACATGTAATTAAATGGAAGTTGCGTTGCTTGTGTTTGACGTTGTTAGTTTCACAAATTGTTTGGAGCAAACAAATTCCTACATGTCCTGTTGGAGCAGGACATGAAGTAATATTTTTCTTCTTCCTTTGCATAGTAGAATTCAACTTTTCAAAAGTGTGGTCAGACACCCCCTTAAGACGGTTTTCTGTACAATAACTTCCTTCTTTCAACCAATCAATATTTCCCACGGCTTGTTGCTTTCCTTGCAGTGCTAGCGCAGTAACTCTACGGTACATGTTGTCTTTAGGGAAGAACTTTTGTCATCCTGTATTAACGGTTGAAAGTTCGTAGAGAAAAACATCTTAATATTTACGCAGGAAAATTTTTTTCGGCTGTGTATTATTTTGCTGAATGCGTTGTTTTGTATCGAGGAGTTCTTTGTACCCTGTGCATTCTGCGTTTGATCATGTGTGAGTATGCGTAACCTGAGAGTGCGTTAACTGCGTAGCACATGTTAAAACTGCGTAGTACGTGGTCTGCTCGCTTAATACCATGACGAAGGTCAAAGCGTTTTAAAGAGTTATATTAGCTGGTGTTCATGATATTAACTGCTTACTGGGATTGTCCGGAAACACAAGAACCAACCCACACGGTGCTTACGCCTAGTGTCATCTTTGGCAGACGTGCATGGACAGGCTATTCCCGACCCCTTTATAATTAAGTTTTATGAATGAGGAAGAGTGTCAGGCAGACAGGAACTGCCCCCCAGCCCAGCCCAAAAAGTGCCAAGAAGGCCCCTCCCCTATTTGACTGTGTGTTCCATGTTAGCATAACATCGATTCCAAACATTAACACTCACGTCCTTCACTGAAGCGACGTTTTCTCCCGAAGGTCCTGAACGCCGTCGTTTTTGTCTCTCATGGTGGCAGTCGTCGCTACTGTGGTACAAGCAGTACTTTACTTTATCCGGCAGTGGCAAGAGCGTCTCACACTTGCGTCTGTGAATGCGCCTCAGCCCTATCTCCCGGTAACCTCCAATATGATTTTGCCTTTGGTGTACAGTGAATTAAGCCGTCACACATTGTTATGCCGTTCTAGTCCTCCAGGAACATATCCTACCAATGGAGGTTGCATCGAAATCCACGATTGAGTCACACCCAGTGGTAGAGCTCCCTGGCAGTTACTATCAAATAGATCATCCACAGTAACCTACCCGCACAACATGGCAAGCATGCTGGAGCTACCCGATCTTCCTGCAGAGCTTGCAGCCCTGCCACTCTGTAATTACCTCTCTTAAACGTTTTCTGCAGGAAGAAAGAGTGTATTGATGAGCATCCCGACAAAAGGCAGACACTTGGGAGGGACAATACAAAATGTAAACAGTCGCACAACTGAAGATTGCTCTGTATCGGCTTGTCGCATTCTGTTGAGTTCATTGGACCGACTGTCAGAAATCGTCCATCGTCCAGATAATGCATGGCATGAACAATACCTCCCCTTCCGATCATCCACAACAGCGCGTTGCCTACCACTTTAGAGTGCTGAAGTGCCAATTAGTGCCCCCCTCTATGTATTAGAGATATCAAATTTTGCCCGTAATGCCCCACTGCCGAGAGTCTTGATGCACTTCTCTGCATCGTCAACTATGCATAATTCGGACTAAAGCTTATTGTTACACACTCCATTTTTATACACGCGTACCTCTGTCCCAGCGCACCACCTGTGCGTTCACACATGTACACTGCAGTTAAGTTGATATGCATTGAATTCTGACAGATCCACAAGAATTAATATCCAGCCTCTCCCTAGCTAATTGTGTTAGTCCTCTTCCTATCAAAGAGGAGCTTATTGTAGTTGTACCACGTCTACTATATTATCGCAAATACCCGAAGGAGGGTGCACATTCGGGACACACATTCCTGAGGGTTTTATGGAAACGCCCACATTATTTATACCATGGTAAAGGATTGCGTCATCATTTTGGACCATATTGGGCACAGCTTTTGACCTGTAGCTGCCTGGCCGATCGGACTGAATGCTTGTTCTCTTTGACGATTACATGATTGCACTGTTGCAGGCGTACTTAGCGAAAAGTATGCAGATGAGGTTATGAACCGCTCTACCCACTTGAAACTACTGTGGTCAGTCTTCCTTCACTGCCGAGTTAAGCAGTGAGTAAATGGTAAATCAGGTCAATCTGTGCCTCCTATAGCGTTGCAGAAATATTTTAGGCAGAAAGTAAGCCTTAAAAGGAGTGGTTCCGCCATTTAATCCATTCGCTTATGCATCGTGCATGCTAAATTCGCCACTTCTTGTTACAAAGAACCTTCTATGCTCTGATAAGCTCATCTTTTTTGAAGAAGAAATGAAAAGTATTGAAATGCAAACCCTAATTGATTGGCTGGGTTTTTTCAGTATATATGTGTTTACTCGTGGTCTCCCGTTAGTAGCTTGCGGAAAGCCTGACACAGGTAGTAGATAGCATGCGGGAGTCGATATATACCCTTCGTTGTGACTTCTTGTGCCTCCAAGATACACCGAGCGAGCAGACCCGCTCGAGGTAGGCCTGTTTCAATTGGCATATTGGCTTTTTCGCTCGTGTTTCATGCCATAACTCCTGAACGCAGCAGTTTCCGAGAAAACCCTACATTTTTCGACCTATACCTGACGCTGAGTATGTGGTGTTGTTTGTGACTACGATTCATGGCTCGTGAAGTGAGATGTCGAGTAACAGACTGACTGACAGACAGACACACATGACAACTATAGTAATCCTCGCTGCGCATGCGTGTCGAGGGTTAATGAGTCCTAGGACAGTACTCAACGTGCTTCTGATATCGCAGGACATCCTTGTTATTTCACAGGATAACCCGTGCAATATCACATACTGCGCCGAATATGCCAAATAATCAATAGCCGGCGCCTTTAAAAATGATATGCACGACCATGGTGAGATTTTCATGTTTCACTTTCAGTTTCAATCAGGTCCAACTTTTGACACATCGGACAGATCCGTATCGTCACAAAGAACATATGTCCAAGAAATGGCTTAAATCGAATAATCAGTACTTGATTAACACTATGGGCTCCGCGCGCCACTTAAATGCCGTGCGCGTAATTGCTCAGCAACGCTACGCGCCACTTTAGTGGCGCGGAATTATGTATTACGCGGATGGGCGTGGCAATATTCCGCACATGCGTAATTCCGCGTATGCGGAGAAATTTCCGTAATACTACGCGGCGCGCAAAGTGTTAAGTCAGTTTTCCAAATTCTTTTTGTTGTTGTTGTTGTTCAGTTTCAACAAGCATATCTAAAAAACCACTTAAGATATGGAGATTAAACTTTTGCACAGATATTGGAATCCATGATAGGCCGTTCAAGAGCATTTTTATTTCTTCGTAAACAACAAAAAAAGAGCCCCAAGCCATACATTATGATAGATACAAACAAAGTGTGCTGACTACGTAAATACCCAGAGTGATAAAACTTCATACACATTATACAACCCATCATTAATAACAAAATGAAACATTACAAGTTTGTAAACTACAAGAAACAGCCTCAGGCAATTAAAACTTGTAAAATGTGTTTGTGCCTGTAACTAGCCCAATAACAATGAGACTTGGTACACTGATGTACCATGATAAGAGTTCATCGAAACAGAAATTTCAAGTTTGTAAACAACAACAAACAGCCTCAGGCCAAAGAGACTTTTAAATTGTGTCAGTGCCTATAACTAGCTTATGATCAAAATGAAACTTGGTGCACTGATGTAATGTGAATGACGACGAAAGGTGATATCTTAATCTTCATTTTTTATGGGCTTGTGCCGAAATATATCCCCTTTTATTACACATTGCACACCATGCATGTGAATGCAGGAAAAAAGGAAAGGAGACAAGCAAATAAAATATATAAAAAGTGTGGAATATAGGGATGCCATAAAAAGTAAAGAGAAAAGACAGGGATGACCTATAACTTCAAGTTAACTGTAATACACTAGTCAAAAAATATATATTCAAACGTTTCGGTGACTATGCAGTCACCATCATCAGTGAACAGTACAGAACCAGAAAAATTCAGCAGTATTTTGACTAGTGTATTAGAGTTAACTTGAAGTTATGGATCCGCCTAGTCACAAAGGTCTTTTTGCAGGGATGACCTAGCGAACATGATGTAGTAGTACAATGGATGATGGCTACATACTTTGAATTGACATCGCTTGCTCGTGTAAAAGTTCCTCCACACAAGCCCTATATTGTCGCCACCTTTACTGTTTGTTTAGTGAAGTGCGAGGACAATGGTGAAAGCATTGTAAAACTGGTTAGTTGAGCAAATGTAGAAGTCTTATACTTCACACAATGCAGTCACAACTGAAAGCCGAGTAGATGGTATTACCTGTCGAATGTGCTTATCAAATAAAATGTAGCTGTGCATCATAGAAGGGAGCACACTCGTATATAGGGCTTGTGTGGAGGAAATTTTACACGAGGAAGCGGTTCAGTTCAAAGTATGTAGCCATCATCCATTGTACTACTGCATCATGTTCACTAGGTCATCCCTGTCTTGTCTCCTTACTTTTTATGGTATCCCTATATTCCACACTTTTAATTCGAAGAATGTTTTGTTTACTTGTATACCTAGCATCATAGTTGTATGGGGATATGATAGGAAGTTTTGTTTATCGTCGTCATCTTCTTTTTCTTCTTAAACCCGCGTCGCTCAAAAACCAAAAGAGATTAAAGTCATGAATAGGAATGTACATACGTTCCGATAACCACATATGCTACATCATTCAATGTTGTTGACTTTAAACAACAAGAAATACCCCCAGGCAATACATTATAATGGGGGCACAGTGTGTTAGTGTAAGTCACAAATGGTAAGAGCATTTTGAATGACAAATGTGAAAATCACAATAATACATATTTAACAACTAGCCTTGGCCACTTTTCTTTAGTTACTTCTCAAACTTTCTGGTGTTAGCACAAATTAAACTTGATATATGTGCGTACTACATCATTTCAACTACATGACGACTTCATGTTTGTAAATAGCCCCCGGCACTCCTATATAAAAATACTAGCACGCATGGAAATGGCATGCGTATTACATCGTTTCCATGATGATCACATATTCTTTTGAACAAAGACAAATAGCCTCGGGCACTTCCTTTATAATTACTTCTTCACTCCTGAAACTTGGTAATGGTAGCTCGTATGAAGATGAAACTTTGTGTGCATGCGTATTACATTGTTTTCATGACCACCTCATGTTTGTAAACAAGAACTAATAGCCTCAGGCACTTTCCTTTCTTCACTGCTCAAACTTCCTAACCGTTATCACGCATGGGGATGAAACTTGGTGCACATGCGTATTACATCGTTTCCAGCAAGTTATTTGAACAACAATAAATATCCTCACTTTTCTTCTTCGCTCCTTGAACTTGCTAACAGTAGAACGAATGAGATGAAAATTGAAACGCATACGTAATACATCGTTTTCATGACAACCACACATTGTTTGAACAACAGCAAAGGGCCCCAGCCCTCACTCTCTATAAATTATTACTTCTTCAATCCTCAGACTTTCTCACCGTAGTACGCATTGAGATAAAGATTGGGACGCATTATTACATGGTTTCCATTACGAAAGCATATTGTACAAATAGCCTCAGGTATTTTTCTCTAGAATTACTTCTTCACTCCATTACCATGATGACCACATGTATGTAATCAACAACAACCATTTTTTCTTATAGGGGGCTTGCCCCCTTTCAAAGAGATTACATAGTAGAGTGGAGACAACTAAATTAAAAATCCTGCGAATTAAAAAAAAGAGGCATATAGCGATGGTATTAAAAGAAGGGGAGACGCGATAGGATATATGAAGCGTGGTTAATGAAGAGATTTGCTAATGCTGACGCCCCCGACCCAATCGCACAATCCCTATATTGTTGTCTAGGTGAAGTATTTAACATTCACCATTAGAATAGTCAGGACTTATAGCTTGAAAATGGCATCAACATCGTTATAGAGTCCAATGGAGTTTAAGAGTGGCATACCTGGCAACAATATAGGGATTGGATGATGGGGTTTGGGTTGTTGGCATGCTCAAATCTCTTTGTTAACGATGCTTAATGTTTATCTTGTCTCCCTTGCTTTTTATTTTTAATTTACTTGTACGTAGATACGTATTATGACATGTAGATGGTGATTTTCTCCTTAATGAGCACTTTTTACAGCTGTAGGTATTCATATGAAATGCTGACTTCCGGTTGTTTTGTTGAATGCATGCTAATTTATGTGTCCCATTTGTGATTGCTGAACTTACAACTTTATCAAGTTCTCTTAAGCCCTTTTTGTTCTTTGGAGCTGTATATTATCTGAAGCAACAGTTGTAGGTATCACATTTCTCATTGCAGGCTGCTATATTTGCAATTCAAAGTGTTTTTAAGGACTTGGGTCGATCAGTGCCAGTGTTTGTGAGTATAACTCTATATTTGTATTTTCATTATTTCGTGCTTGCTTAACTTTCACAATCTTGTGGAAAAAGATTGGTGTTGTTACTTTTTGTCAATACATATTAACCCTCGGCGCGCATGCGCAGTGAGGGTTGCAGTACTTGGTTTCTCTGTCTGTTTGTCGGCGCCTACAGGCCACGAGATGGCCTGTAAGCGATACCAATGAAACGAATGCATTCGAGAGCGATAAACTATCATGGTCGCAGACTGCGTTGTGTGTCCCAACCCATCAATTAGCGGTGTGCATCGTATATTCGACGCGGTCCATGCGATATGCTGGCTTACCTCCACCTGATCCTCTTGCTCTGTGTACCTCGGAGGCACAAAAAGCCAGAGTGAATGGCGTGTATCGTCTCCCGCATGCTATCTATCTATCTATCTCGGGTGAATAGGTGATAAGTATTAGTATGAGTATTTCCTATCCTAGTGGTAATGCTTAAGTCGATAGGTCAATGGTGGTGCTAACGAGTGACCATTCCAACTAGCTGAAGCAACAAAATGTAGCGACTCCAAATAGCATCCGACCTATTCAATACACATACAAAGCACCTTATATATGTTCTACGTAAGTTCTCGAATGTTCCATGCACGTGTACATAGGTCAGGGCCGTACACGTGTATAGGTCAGAGGTCGTGCACGTGTATAGGTCAGAGGTCGCCACATCACTCCCCTCCCAGTGAGCTAGTGAACGAAGCTCATTAGTCGTTTAGGGAAGTGGACACGTCTGCCAGAGCGAGTGGTCCGAGTAGGCTCCGACAATGGTGTTGGTGAAGTAGGCTGCGAAAGAGAACTGGAATCCGTATCCCCAGGTGTAACATCGAGATAGGCTGGTTTGAGACGGTCCAATGACACTGTGTCCTTGCGCCCATCATAGTCCAATGTGAAGTATTTCTCGGCTCTGTCGAGGACTCTATAGGGACCATTGTAAGTGTACTGGAGTGGCTTGCGCACCCTGTCGTTGCGGACAAACACATGAGTGCCTGAGAAGAGGTCCTTGTTAATGTGTACCTTGCGCTGTGGGTTGGAGCGGACTGGAGGTGGCTTTAAATTACGCATGGCATCCCGTAGACGTGCAACGAATGATGTCGGGTCCGTGATTCCAGACTGGGTTTTCTCGAAAAATTCACCTGGAAGACGCAGCATTGTACCATAGAGGAGCTCTGCCACACTGGCCTGTAGGTCTTCTTTGAGTGAGGTACGAATGCTGAGAAGTGCCAGTGGCAGTATCTCCATCCAGTTACTCGTGTGATTCTGCCCTCTGAGGGAAGACTTGAGTTGGCGATGAAATCGTTCGATCATGCCGTTTGCGATGGGGTGATAGGCCGTCGCCCGGAGGTGTTTGCACCCTAGGAGCTGTGTCAAAAGCGCCCAGAGTCGAGACTCGAACTGTCGACCTCTGTCGGTGGTGACGGTTTCTGGCACGCCAAAACGTGCAACCCAACCACTAACGAAGGCTAGCGCGATCGTCTCGGCAGTGATGTCTGGTACGGGGAAGGCTTCGGGCCAGCGGCTGAACCGATCGATGCAGGTTAGGAGGTAGCAGCACCCCCGAGAGGGTGGTAGAGGGCCGACAATGTCAATGTGGACCTGACGGAAACGGGCGTCCGGAGTTGCGAAAGTCGACAGAGGGGTGACGGTGTGACGGTGGATTTTAGCTCGCTAGTTGGAATGGTCAACTAAACGCATGGACACTAATATCCCAGCGCATGCGCAGTTTGTTAAGGGTTTGCACTTTATTGTTGCACTACGGACCAAAAATTATATCTGCCACCAGTTAGGTGGTGTCTTTGCAGCAGAACACAGCGTGCTTGTATGTCAAGAGTGTGGAGTTTAGCTGTGTAAATAATGCGAGTTAACGCACGCACAGCCGCGGGCGCCGCGAAATTCATGTGTTTGCTCGAGTGGGTAATCGTGCCAAAACGCATGGATTTACACCCTGTGCTTAGCATTGCGAGCGATAGCGCAATCGCCAGTTTAGCACGTATGCACGCGATATTTTGTGCTGGCTTTTATCAGCTATTTGTTCGCGCATAACTGGATAATGACATGCCCACAGATGTGGTCAATAGTGCTTACAAATGTACGGTTGTTATATTGCGACCGTGTTTGCGCATACCCGCGTAATGACACACCCACCTTTTTTACGTAGTAGAGACCGTGCAACCACGCACATGTACCGGAGTTACTCACATTGTTTTACATGGGTCATTGTCTACCAAAATCATGTGTAAACCAAACAAGTAACGAGGTTGAAGGGCGAGGCAAAGGAAATGACTCAACTTCACCCTGGAGAGCTCTCCCCTACGACACTCTGCATTCTCTACAAACTGGTGTTTTTTCGTTCTCTCTTCTATTTGTTCCGCCAGTGTCCGTTATAAGGAGATAAAAAACAGAAGGTATATACCAGCAAAATTGACAACATGGTGGCATGGATCATTGGACAGTGTAAATAGCTATTATACTAGTAGGCGAATGCATGGCATTTTTGGCGAGCGGGAGCGAGCACAGAACCTTGTGGTGAGTTATTCTGCTCTTTTCTAAGAACTGAGTTAAGAAACTCTGCAGCGGTTTCAGTAGATCTGTGTCTTGATATACTGCGTTTCAAGTTACAGCCCTGACGTGTCTTGTCAGCAGGGCCTGCTGAGTGCATGGGATTTTTGTACCCCTCCCTGAGAAGCTGGAAAGCTGTTAGTAGTATAAATACATGTACTGCTCTGTGATCCCGGTTGCCCACAGGGTTTTGCGTGTTGTATTTGGACTTGAGTGTTGACCACACCCTGTGAAAAAGGCTAAGGTTATTACATAGAGGCTGGTTTATGATCTGTCTAAGGTATCAGCAGTGTTAGAGTTCGATAGTGGGGCACCTTCACACATTGTCCTCAACAGTGGAGTCAGAACCACCACCGTCTTCGTTACTCATTCTTGTTTCGGCATTTTCCCCACACAGTGAGTCGTCATGCAACAGTTCCTTCTCCTCTAAGGTTTTTTGCTGTGTACCTGCAGCACTGGAGGTATAACACAGTTCTTACACCTACAACATGACCACGCTTGTTGGCCCCAAGATGTACCATTCAAGGTACTATGCAAAGGAAAAACGTTTTCGTTAATGCCTCATAAACATACATCAGTTCTGTTCC